TTTTGTTGCTTAGTTTAAAATCTTTATTCTTTATTCTTTCTAAAAATAGTAATAAAATAATAACGAAACGGTATTTAATAATAATAGTCAATAATAAATAATGATGGTGTAAAATATGTCTTTGGTTTTTATGAAGGCCTATTTATTCAGGGAGTTGCTTGAATTTCTAATCAACACAGTCCTGCTACACAGAAACACCACATATTCTCAGTAAAAGTTTTTATATTTTCAGTCATCTAATGTTAACGAATTATAATTGCAGGAATTCTATCTGCAATTATAATGTGGTTCGGACAGTTTTGATGACGATAATGATCTTACTCTAAAGTAGAACTTTAGAATCCTTCCTTAAGATCAAGAATCCAATCGGACCCAATTACAATATCTTCAGTTTTTTAGTAAAATTCGATTTTCCAAAACGCCAATTGTTTAGAATGTAAGACATTGACATAAAAAGTGATCCCAATTTTCCAACCTTGCACTGCTACTATTGATCCACAATACCACTACCAACAGTGCTATCAAATTACTTCCTCCAACAACACGTAAGTAGCGGATCACCTACCACTATTACCCTGACTACTAGCAGATAGTTCTCCTATAAGGATTTCAAAACTGCACTTCACAAGTCACCATAAAATGAGATGCCAATTTCACGACTGTTTTCTCAAATAAGTTTAATTATCCGAAATTAAAATCAATGAGTCCTGCCCTTAGATAATTAAACTTGTTGACACAAAATGAAACTTCACATGTGACGGTCCACTCGATCCGCATTTCCAGAATTTTATAAATTATTGCTATCGTTTCATGTCTACCCATTTACTATTGTTGTACTTTTTTTTCAGAACAAGTAGTTTCGCTAAACTCTTGGCTGCGAGATCATTAAGCGCAGCATTTCATATTGCTATTATCTCTTTGCAATGATAAACACAAATTTGTTCTTTCATCGCTTTTGCTTTCATTCGCCATTTTGATAGATACTTCCACACTTAAGAACAGAAATAAGTTTCCATTCAAAACAAAGAACTTCAAAACAGACAACTCTGATTTAAATAAAATGGCAACGGATCTCAAGTCTGTCCTTTCTTTATCTTCATCATTGCATTAGACAAGCAGTCAAAATTTTCCCCAACACAAATATTTAACAATAAAAATTTCATTTCCATAATCGAATAGACACTTAACAAAAAGAAACATCATAGTTCAAGTCAGTAAAATTTTTCCCGAAAACGATATCACCCATTTCATTTGTTATGAATCAGTTTAATTAATAATTTGAATTAAGCATTGTGTTGTATAGCTTTTTAAGCAACGCTGAAATCGCGTTAAAGTGCATGTGCGAATGGTATATGATTTAAATCACAAAGCAAGCAAGCATAAAAATTTACATGCTGCAAAATTCAGTAATGAGCCATTTCCTGCTTAGAAGGAAAAATTGCTATCAACACAAACTGGCTATTAACACAAACTGGCATAAGCTAAGCAAAAATCCTTCTTCAATTTCAGAAGTATGACATCTATTAAAAATAGAACTCAGAAATACACTTTATGTTGCATGAAATAAATATAAAGAGGAAGTGCACCCATTAGCCAGTAATACCTTGCAAATAAGATGGCATCTTAATTTTCATGAACAATCGAGTGGCCAAGAAACCAATGAGAACACAAGCGAAACCCAACCCCAACATCATTATCCGATCCAGCTTGGGCGTTAATGGATTATTGCACCTATCCAATATGATAAAACCAAGTCCTGAAAGAAGTAAGAAGGATGACAGAATGGATATTTGAAATAAATCTCACGAAATCTATGCTATTTTTACAAGCTAAAATCCTATCTACAATCCATGCTTACCAAAGTTATGTACTTAAAAACCTGAAAAGTCATAAAGGGAAAAGTTATATCTCAAAGCTGACAAAAGAAAAACTACCGCCTAAAGAAAACATAAAGCTTGCAGCCAAGCCTTCCATAATATATTGCCCATTAACTCGATACTGCATTATAGCAACTGGCTTCGCATTACCTCTCTCATCAGTCGTTTGTCCTGCAAGGATAATAAGTAAATCAGAAAGAATGGTACAGAAAACCAAAACAATAAAATAAGTAATTATAGATTGATGCACTTGCCGATGCTTGGAGGTTCGTTAATAATATCATAGATGACACCTCCAGTCACGAAGAAATAAGTCATCATCACCAGTGCGAATACTTGCATTGGTGAAGGCATCTAAAAACAACGTAACAGATAAACAACTGAATATGCAATACTTCAAAACATGAAAAGATGATGCCAAAACGCCCCCCATGACGACTCGCTGCAAAGCCAATAGTAAAACAAACCTTCAGCCACCTTGGCGGTAATATTTTAACATTTGGGGGATTAATGAATGTGAAAAGAAGCGCTTCCAGGACGGACTCCATAGATTTTTAAACAATCTGCAATTCTTAAGAACACATAAATCATGTACGGGCTACTGATTGAGACAGATCAAATTTCCGAACTATAAATACCTTCACCGGTTTTTATATCAGATAAAATTCAATAAAGATATCATATGATATAATCATAAGTCTTATTTCAGAAAATGAATGCAGCAATATACTTTATTATTTTATTTCCTGAAATTCCTCATTTCCGTCACTCAGATGTACACTCAGTGATTTAATGCTGACATTCCCCACCAAATCTACACATACCAAGTAGCAAAAATTTTGAATGAAGCAGCTCATCATCACAACCGGTAAAAAGCAGTTATATCCGCTATATTTCCATGACAATATAACTTCTCTTCAAACTACTAAGCTATTTGATACAATAGGAAAAAATATTGATCTATTTTATACTCTGAACTGGAATAAAACAGCAGTACAATACAAATGACTCACAAGCTGACAAATTTTGATTTGAAAATGAACACTAACAATAAATTTATGCGACAAATGCTTACAAAGATAGGACTAACAGTTATTGGTTATATACTTTTCTCGAATATCTTAAAATTGTTTTTTTAATGTATATAAGACTAAGTTTCTGAAAATATTAAATTGCAAAACTAGAAAATAGCCACGTCTACACATTATTTAATGAAACACTCCATTTCAAATGACAATGGCATAACATATTTCAAGTTCGGTATGCAATGATTATTACGGATATATATATAAAAATACGAACTTCTGGACCTATTCCGAATCATTTTGAGCTCTACATGGAGTAGAAACAAATTTGCAAACGTAAAAATGCAGAAAACAAATTTAAATTTTAAGGATCATGGAGATATCATTTTTAACATAGGGTATAACACATCAACAAAACAGCATGAGCTGCTCTATGATATGTTAGGAGCAAACTCATAAACATGTGACTGTTTGTGTTTGGTTTGAAAGAAATGAGGTGTTCAGATAAAAACTACTTAAATTATGCATTGATAGTTTCCTGCAGACCATTGGTGATAATCGAACTCAGTTGGAATAGGCACAAACTGTATTCAGACAATCATCAATGCAAATATTACATGGTGATTTCTTACCCATAAAATCATCTCAAATGACAATCAAATGTTAGTTTTAATGAAATGAATATTGTTTCTGAAATCAACAAACTACTTATAGTTAGGTTATTTATTCAAGTTTTCTCATTCTCAAAAGGAAGAAAAGCATTCTGAAAATGTAGCAATATATAAGTCAACAAAATTAACCTACAAATTTTTGGGATTTATTCAACATATAGAGGTGGTCACAGAAACGTTAATGGCAAGGCACGTAAATATAATCTCAGCTAAAGATGCTTTTTAACGAAACTAAGGCTGTAAATTAAAATCTAAGTTCTTCCTAATCTTAATAAACTGAAGATTTCTGATTTCATAAAAAATGGAGAGAAGGACCTGGTCTCAACCTTTCTGTAACATTTCCATCGGCAGTAGCAAAATACGCTTTCTCAGCAACTCCTATAAAAAGACCTGTTTCGACAACACCCGGTAACGATATCAGACGTGTATGCAAAGCTGCTAGGTCTTCCGTTGTTACATATTTATTTTTTGGAAAATTCCAATCCAAGATGAAATTGTTGTTGTCCGTAATAAAGGGATCCAACTTCTTTTTATTGTTTGTTCTCAATTCAACCTCACCACCTTCCTGGCGTTTTATCCAGTTCAAAACTGGCGCACATCTGTAAAACGGAACTATCAATCTTGATTTTTTTTTAATACAGTGAGATCTAACACCACTTCGTGCTAATAAGTCGTATATTAATTACCAGAACGAAGTTCAAAAAAGGTATTTATAGAAATAGCAAATAAACCAAAAAGATTTTTTTGGACGTCTAAGTCAGCCATTTGAACAATTCCCACTTAATCAGCAAACAATAAATTGATGACGACATATATTGCAAATCTCTAGTAACTCCATAAACAGCATATTGACCGTTCCATCACATCACCGTTTCAAGCATGTGATACAGAATGATTGGAAAATAAACATATCAAAAATGATAATAAAATTAATGAATGTGTTTCCTGGACTTAGCAGCGCATAAACTAATTATAATATTGAAAGCCTACCCAAATGGAACGACTTCAATTGGAATAGGAAAATTCTTATCGCCCAGTTTTTCTGACTGTTTACTAGCATCAGCAATAATATAAAACTTTTTGGCACTTGTCTGCACGATTTTCTCTTGAGTTAAACATCCACCACCACCTGAAGGATCATATACTGTTTTTATAGAATGACTGTTCTCACTTTATACACAATGCCACTTGTGCTGAACTGGAATTGTGAACAGGATGCAAAAGAACAGCAGTATTCTGCAACTGTGATAGAACGAAACTGGTTACCTTTTATACAGTTCAGATTAATGTCCACTTCGTCAGCTCCATCAATACACAGATCTAAATCGAGAGTTTTCTCCAAGTCAATTACTTTCAGACCAGAATCGATTAGCCACTGACGAGTTGAGAATGAAGAAGGCACACAGATGATGTCCTTTACTACACCATTGTTTACTTTTTCAGCCAGAAACTCGACGAAAAATTTAGCCGTGGTACCACTACCGACACCTATCCGACAACCACTTTTCACATGCTGTTCACCGGCTGCATACGCTGCTGCTCGTTTGGCAAGATCCAGAGTTGAACGCGTTTTCATTGCATCGTGCAACTTCAATGCCTCAATATCATATTCAAAGTTTTGTGATTAATATCGAAAAAATAAACTAAGTAGAAAGTATGAATTGAGACCGTTTAATATATCAATTTGAAAGAGAAAGAACTTCATATTGGGTTGGACAAAAAGTCCTGCTATATGCTGAAATTTTTAATTTTGAACTATGATTTCGGTTTACGAAGTCCCATCACTTATCTACAGAATAACTTTATTTTCCGAACTTTATTTTTCCATTTTTGGATGGTAAAGAAATCGTGAATGTAGAATTCGTGTTGTCTACAGTCATCGGATTTCTCAATCCCAGATACAGAGAGGTCCAGAAAAGATACACTCCAAGGGAGAGAACGATAACTTTGCAAAATGATACAGCGGCTAATGCCGACATATTATAAAAATATGCGACATTTAGATGCATTTTTCCAGTAGTGAAGTAAAAAAAAGTTGATCACGCCAGTCTCTTTTTGATGAATATCATCATTAATATCGAGATTTTGCAACCGTTATGGAGATTAATAATGCATAACAAAACTCCAACATATTGAATTTGAAGATTTCTTAAGTCAGCACCATTCTTTATATTCTAAAATACTTAATCTTGACAAGAAAAAAGTGAAATAACAGAACAAACCGTGTCAGAAAATGATGCCATTACAGGTTTTTGAAAGAATAATTAATAAAGAATGAAAATAATTGAGTGTAGCTATTTAATGTAGAGAAGGAAGCAGAAGTGCTCAGGCATCATCACACAGTTCAAAAAGCAAAGAACCCACACACCAACACTGCTAGCAGTTGACGTTCTGACATAGCAGATAATAAGCAAAGAACCCACAGTAAAGATCATGGAAGTGTGATCTTTCTCGACACTCATTTTTTGCATTCCTTAACAAGTTTAGTCGACATTCCAGTCATTTACTTCCAATAGTGACAACAGTCAAATTTCCTACTATACTCATTAATCAGGAGAGTGGCGATTCACCACTCAACCATACATCGTATTGATATTGCAATCCCTGGGAATGGTTCTTTAAAAGCTACCGTTAAACTTGAAAAAGATGAATACTCTTGAAAATACCACGCATTCTTCAATAATGTATATCAAATTCCTCGAATCAGTGTTGAAGAATTATCCATTCTTCTCTTAATCATCTCCTCAACACTTCAATATCATTTCCTTCTACTTTAAACGATAGCAATAGGGAAGATAAAATATAGCATAATCTCACAAACCATTCTTGGGAATGTATTTATTATATCATATTGTTTCTAAAACCTATCGGAATCATATCGTGCTATCCTACAGTGTACAGGATTAGGAAATAGCCGAGATAACTGATCTTTAATCAACATTCCATTCCAACATAAGTTACCGATCTTTGGGATTTCCGCAAAAATAATACTACCTCTAAAGAGAATGAAACTAAAATGTGAAAGGGTATATGATTACAGAAACTCATGCAAAACATCATTGCTGAATAAATGGGAAGAAAAACGTGCCGGATATAGCGAAGTGGAATATTTTATCTATGGCGCGCTGATTTATTGTTCTAAAGATAATGGAAAACAATGAAGCAACAGTGCTTACAACCAAGCTACCCTATGCACAAGCAAATCCAATCACGCATGCGAGTCTCTCGAAACATCCATTGTCTCATCATGAAACATAGTCAGTGCCAACGACTGAATACATAATGTCCATGATGTCAAATCTCCAAAAAAATGTTCACATCCATGACCCGAATCTGGCCTGCTTATCTTCATATTTGCATAGCTTAGCAGAACTGAATGCGGTACTTTACAACGTCATGGTCATAAGGGATCCGAATATTTTAGCCGGATATAGTGAGGTTAAAGACAATGTGCAATACAGTGTTTTTCTCGCATATTTGAAGAATGATTTCCTGTATGGATATTATAAAATAAAGTCTCGTTTCTTCAGTCTATTTTGGCTTAGATGATCCTCAAGCAGCATTTGAAAGCAACAAGAGATATAAGATCATTTCCTAACTGGGTGTGAGGATATATAATAAAGGCTGTATAACTGAACATTCCAAGCTGCTGTTTTATCTAATACATCGACTGCTTCCGAAAATAAACCATACAATTCAGCAATTGATGAAACTGATTAGAAAATGCTTCAAACTCGCAATCAGCTCGCACAAGCACTTTGGACAAGGATGTTTTCTTTCTTGGCTCACATTTAATTGCATTTATATGCTACGTATATATATATGCTCTTGTGTGCATCATTGATTGCAGTGCATCAGTACATGAATAAAATCCAGATATGTATTAGAAAATGTATGGACATCAGACACTACAAATATTTGCAATACCGGAATGAATAACGAACCTAAAATAGTTAATTGTTCCAACAATAAAAACGTAATACAAGCTAAAGTTTCATAATGCCTACAACATTTTTTTCTCCAAACACATCAATTCTTATCGAGCAAAATGTTCGGTTGGCCATAAGTTGTACACACAATATTGTACAATATCTACAAGGAGAACAAACAATAATTTTGAGGATGTTCTCAGCAAGTATGGTAATGCCCAACAATTATTAGATGTTTCGTTCAGCAACTGATGCCTGATCGCTGTGACATATTTGGCTAGTTCGACGTCTTGATATCCCACGACAAATAACTGACGGTAGAGACTCTGGAGTGTACATTCCAGGCATTATTTCCAATGCATCCATTGCTTTAGCTGCAGTCGCATCACCATCAACCGCTAATCTGCAAACAAATTACTACAAAAAACAACAGTTACTACTACTTACATTGCCTTCTCATTCCACCTTTATACAAAATGTAAGCATTCATCCATTCATTTTAATGCAATTTTCATTCTTTTTATCTGTACATCGACATGTAGTTGCATAAAAGTTCTCTAGAAAAAAAGATAAGTAAATAAATAAAACTGTGTAAGCTCTACAAATAAAACTATGAAATATAGTTTTCCAACCTGTACTGATGACATGCATCAACTGGACGATTCGTTTTGGTCAGGAAATCACCAAGTAAACGATGAAGTCGACTATTCACTGTCGTCTGAAACCAGAATGAGTAATTTGGTAAATAATAAAAGACAGATTTTCTTATTTTTTTATCTTATTTTTTTCCGAAAGCAAGGATTGCTCAGCAAGTACAAAAAAGCAATATAATTTGTGTTGGTTATGAAGAAATTATTCAGTAAGCAAAACACACCACTGGATATCCAGCTAGATGTATATTTCTTTCCTAGTAAATTGTCAGTCAGAAAAACTTTCAATAACAGCATTTTACCTGAGTTTGCTTCCTTAGCAGTGTAATCGCTTTTTCATAACTTTGTGTTTTATCGTAAAGGGCCACAAGGAGAAATACAGCATCCAACAAATGAGGGGATATCGATATTGCCTAAAAAAAATTGAATCTTTTATAGTTATACCGAGTGAAAGCAAGTATGTCAATCATCAATCAAATAATTTTAGCCTTTTCGAGAAGTTTCTGTGCATCTGTCACCGTCGATTCGTCTTTAGCAGCTAAGGTAGCACAAAGATACAATGCCCGAGCATTATCTTGACCAAGAATGTGTCGACATGTACAAGCAACAACTCGAGCCTGAATCGTAAAAATTTTGATTATATCTTTCTCTTAAATTTCAGACTGACAAAATTATTAGTGGTCAAAAAAGTTTATGCTTAATAACACAGAGAAGTAAAACCTTAGCAGTCAAATATTAATGATACAGTTTATACCAAATCAATATTCCGATTCCTTCTATTTCTGGAGCAAGATCAAGAGTAAAAATTGTGAAAAACTTATGTAATCAAAGGCAACAAACGACAGATTGAACAAAATAAATAAATCGTCAAAATAAGAACCTCCTGAGTTTTTTCCTGAAGAAGAAATGCATGGACCAGAGCTTCATAAAGAGTGTAATTTGCAGGATGAATAACAAGAGCATCGCGCAATTCGGCTATGGCCTCGTCGAATTTCTTTTTATCCATTAGAATTAGAGCTCTCAATAATATTGCCATTGGATGTACATGCCAATCTGCTAACTTACAAGCCTGAATTCAGGTTCTGAACTGTAGAATTAAATTCACTACAAAACAGAGACAGCATTTTTTTATATTTCCTTCTAAAAAAGCAAAAGAATACTTTTTCTGTGAAATACAATGCTTTGTCATGCCTTTTCTGGCATTTGGCAAGAAAAGCATATGCCACCCAAGCTTCGGGAGTTTCTTGCGCGTCCATCAAAGTAGCTGCCAGATTTTCCAAGTCTTTATAGTTCTGTTCCTGAAACTTTTTTGTTTATTAGACTTTAAATGCAGATAAATATATCTTCACGGTATGCGATCACTAAACAGTCGACAATATGAAGTAGTTTATCCACCTGTGCCAAAATAAATGCCAAAATGTCCATTGAGTAAGAAGTGCTAGGATCTAGATGATGTGCTCGTCGCAGATACACAGCTGCCTTCTGATTCTCCCCAACAATATAATGCAACCGCCCTAACTCAATCAATATCCTGAAAATGAACAATTTATTATCAATCTTTATATAAAGTCAAAAAGGAAAAGTAAGTCAGAATTTTATTTTTTTTAAAAAAAATTAGCACTCAAGTGCGGTTCATGAATTCTTTCTCCTGACGTATTTGCAGATAAGGGATCAGGTAATCACTACTCCGTTTTTCAGCGCAACGAATGAAGTGAAGAAGCTCAGAGAGAGTATTTAAATTCCATTAGGTAAGAATTATTCAAGCTGTAAAAATGAGGAAAATAAATTTACTTTAAATTTCCCGGTGGCACACCAGAGAGTTGAGAAATTGCATTGTAATGCTTTTGTTCAGCAACAGCTTCCTGTGCTTTAAGCCAAGCCTGAACGGTGCGACTACGGTGAGATGTGCAAATTCCCTCTTTTAGGCCATATCGTACAATGCATGACAAAGAATCGATGGCTTCTGGACATATTTCAACCACTTTTCTGCAAATTTATTTTCTCTGAAACTATGCTTCTACTATCCTGCTTCTTCGACAACTGCTGAACAATTCGAAATTCGTGAAAATTGTACTCTCCATGATAAATCCGATAAGATAAACAAGACATGCTCACTTATGGTACAGCATTGCATTTCCCACTGTTTTAACCTTATCGCGGCTAGTATAATCATTCGAAGGTACATGATGCAGACGGGCCAATGCTGATATAATCTGAAACCAGTCCAAAGTAGATAGTGCTTTCACATTCTTTTTATCCATATTTGCACACAAATAAATGAAAAATTGGCTCCTTATTCGGAACATGAGATTCGCTTTTTACAAATAAAATATGCTAGAGTGACAGAGGAAAATCTTTGGTTTTACACATTATCATTTTTAAGCACTCTAATTTAATGTCAAAATTATACATATCAATGTTAATTAATCTGGGTTAAATGTTAAATATATTAATAAATTTTGGTTTCCGTATGTTATAAATCATACTGATTCCTATGGAATATAGTAAAACTAAAAGAAAATAATGAGAGCTTGAACAGTTCTTCAAATCAAGTTATATTACAGTTTTGTCCTTGATATTTTGATTTTACTTTTTTTTCCCCAGTTTGTTTTCGAATGCTGCTGTTCCGACAACATAGTCACATTTTTATATAGTTTCTATTACAACTTTGTTTTAATTTGCCAACTTTTTATGTATCTGTTAACTCTTAAAATATAGTTTCATGGAAAATTTTAATATTCTGAAAGGTGATCACTCACTTTTGAAACTCTAACTCAATATGATCCTTTACTTCTCCGATCTGTAGCAATAACTGAGAGATAATATGGAAATACATTCACATTAATGATTATTCAGAAAATTTCTTTGAAAAAAGATGAAAATAGCTAACTTTCGGAGTCATTTCCTCCTCAGCAATGCTACCCAAAACACCCATTGCTTCCTCTCGTTTACGCTGTTTCAGTAAACAGCGATGAAGTCGGTATTTCAGTTCAGCTTCAGAAAATTTCTGAAAATTGATTCAATCAGGTAAGTAAATGCTGTGGATCTATTTTCATATTAGTCAAAGTAACTTATTCGCTTCTAAGCAATTCGCCGGAGATAGGTAACATACCAAATATTTGCTCAGTGACTTCGATAATGTCTTTGTTAATGTAATCGCACGATAAAAAGCCTGAAATAAGAATTATGCATTATCCTTTATTGCAAAAGATCACAGAAATGAAGCAAACCATACCTCTTGACTTTTGATAAAACAATCACGCTGGTAGTAGGATTCGGCTACCATCGAGACCACAGTTGCAGCCTGGAGTTTACTTAACACTTGCTCAGCATATGACAGCTCGTACAAAGTGATAACATCATCATAAAGCTCGAAACCGAATAGCTTACTAATATCCTCATCAAAGGAATGCATAGTTTCGTTATCCTTCTGATTTCAACTTGAACAATTAACGTTTACACAATTTGAGATCATTAAATATAATTTTAAAAAATCCCGCAAATCATCGAACATTTTCGATTTTTTCAACAAAGAAACTACTGTCACTC